ACACTGTACTCCCCAGCAGCGCGCAAAATGGTATTGAAACTTGTAACTCACGCGGCCCCCGCACCACTCAAAATCCCCACAACTCTGAAGTGTCTTAAGACGGGAATCTCAGCGCTTATGCACACACCCATATACAGACACTGCTTTACATCATAATGATTTTTTTCGTATGCGCTTATTCAATTTCACCTCCAAGACGTAGCGCTTCCGTTGATTCTTCCTACATTTCAAGGAAAATCGAATTTTCTTCCGCACGCAGTATTCCGCCCCAACTATTTGATGCAGTTACGAGTACGCCAGTTATGCTTCAAATAGTTACTTTTGTAATTGTATTTACATAGCAGGAAACGGAAATGTTTGTACGCCATTTTGACGTGGGAGGAAGCAGCTACAAGTGCTGTGTACTCGCTCCATCTCTAACTACGGTCCCATTCAATTAGTTTAAATATCAGAAATATTGAGATATTTTATTTGTCAATGGTTTGCGTAAACGTCATCCTTTTATCTTAATTTCTCTGGAGCACCCTCACCCTCCATGCGCTGAAAACGTTAGTTTGTCACAAAATAGCGTGGAGTGTTGATTCTATTAGCGCCAACTGTATTTGAAAGCAAAATCCTTCCTCAACTTCTGCTCTTAGCTTAAAGCGATTGCGCTTGAATGCCTTCGCATCTGTCCAAAAATCGTGTCCATTTATATGCAGCTCTTCTTTAGTAGCCCACTGCCTCCAAGTCGCTCTTCTTCACTGTGTACCCATGCCTCAAAAAGAGCTCGCAGTTTGTAGGGATGGAAACCGCGAGCTCTTATACTTTCAAACAATATTCCGCTAGTCTTATATTATATCATTTCGCATGCGGTACGTGTTGCAAGCACTTGCTGCAATCAAATGTTCCCAATTTCCCAGTTGGCACACGAAATTTGTGCAACTGAAACAAATTCGCTGCGGTTTTAGCAGCTACAAATGACACCACAGTCGCGACAAAGACTGCAATATCCAAATCAAATGTAATCCTTGGTGGAAGTTAACTCAGAAACAAGAAAGCTAAATAGCCTTCACATATACAAAATTGTTCTTACAAGAACATTGGTCGGTTGATACGTATGAATAGCTGTATGTTATATGTAAACAATTTCTTCAGTGAATGCATACTTGCCTTGGATAAAAACCCTTGCAAAATCTTATGAAGAGTTCTCCTCAAATGAGAAAAGTTTTCCATACAAGCACTCGATTCAGGTCTTTCAGTTCCTATGACATATATCACATAGCTATAGTGATCCCATACCAAAGGGGCAAATTCTTGGTGAGAAAAGAGCGGGTGGAAAAAACAGACTTGGCCAAATCGATAAAGGGCGCCAAGCTGATTATTTCTAAAAGCCTTTATAGGGGATATGACGTTTCCTTTTGGGGGTTACAAATATTGTAGCAAACCTAATATATCCTGTTCAGGATATAATGTGTGTATCTGTGCTTGATTTGTGTTATAAATCTGTTGAGCATAATTTTTAATTATTTATACATTATAATCTTGATGAGCTACACCACCATTTTTAATCAACTCTCTGGAATTTTTTTGGGAACTTCGTAATTTGTGAATCTCCACTGAAGATTGGCAGAATCTAGAAATATTTAAGTTGAGAGAGTCCAACTACGCTATTAATCAAATTTGTGAATTATTGGTCAGAGCAAAAGTCGTAAAGAGGGCAAATACTGGGCAAAAATGCGAAGGCTTTTCAAAATTGGTATGGAATAGAAGCAATTTGGGGTTTTTCAACAAGGAGCTACAAAAGTAGACCTATAGGGACGGCAAACAACGCCATATTTTTTCCGCTTTTTTCACATTTCGTTTCAATAAAGTTTGCCACTTCATCATGGCAAGATGTACGATCCAAAATTATTAAAATTTATTACCGAAATTCGGAGACAGTGGCCTTGACTTAAAGAGCGCTACGCCGAATTTATGAGATAAGCAAATTGAGAGTCTAGTAGGAAAATTTGAATCCATAGGCACAGAACAAAATGTCCCCGCGCCAGTAAAATAAAGAAGAGCTCGTAGTGTCAAGAATATTGTTGCCACTTGAGTATTAATTGAGGAAACCCCAAATCAGTCGTCGTTTTCAAGCTTTGAGCATCTCTGTGACGTCGTTGTGGCAAATTTTGCATCACCTACATCCTTACAAGATGAAATTCACGCAAGAACTGAAGCCGCTTATCCACTAGAATCGCCGTATGTTCATGACTTGGGCTCATCTTCAGCGATGAGGAGCATTTTTAGCTGAATGGCTTCACCAGTAGGTCAGACAGCAATCCACATGTACTCCATAAGTCACCATTGCATTCTGAAAAAACTACGGCTTGGTGCGGTTTATGGGCCGGCGACGTCACTTCTTCCGCGATGATCAAGACCGGCACATTACTGTGAATGGGAATAGCTACCGCTCAATGATAACCGAATATTTTTTGCCCTAATTGAATGATATGGACTTGGACAATATATAGTTACAACAGGACGTAATTGTACAAATAGTTACTACACCTTAGCGTCTGATTTCACGACTGAATTTCTAGTTTGCTATAGTTGAAATAATCTTATATACCTTTATGGGCACCAATCATGAGAAGTTTCCCATCACTCTAAATTAAAATCTTAATTTCCATATACAGGGTGGGCCAAGAGAAACCAAGGGGTGTAAAAGTTTAATAACTTTTTCGTTTATTAATTTTTTTTTTAATTTTTTCTTTCAGATTATATAGACAACACTTAGAGAATTTATAATGGAGAGCTACACAACTGAACAGAGAACCAGAACAATGGAATTTTGTTATTTAAACCAGAGATCAATTATTTTAACGCAAAGAGCATATTGTCAACATTTTAACGTCAGAATTTCGCCCTCTGAAGCAATGATTCGTTGCTTAGTTGATCGTCATCGCCAACATGGCAGCGTAATAGATTTGCTTCGAACCGGTAGACCACGTTTAAGTCGCACTGCGGAAAATATTGAACGAGTACAGCAAAGTGTTAACGAAGCACGAGAAACATCTGCCAGAATGCGTTCTGCTCAGCTAGGAATGTCTCGTACGTCACTACGGCGCATTTTAAAAAAATATTTACAGTTATACCCATATGAGTTGCAAATGGTGCAAGAACTAAAACCCGCAGATCATCGGCAACGTCTAAATTTTGGAGTTAAGTTTCAAGAGTTGGCCAGAAATGAAATCAAATTTATTAAAAATTTGTTTATGAGTGATGAATTTTATTGTCATTTGAATGGCTTTGTTAATAAGCAGAACTGTAGGTTTTGGGGTTCTCAAAATCCAAGAGCCATTCATCAACGCCAATTACACCCCATCAGGTGTACAGTAGGGTTTGGGATCACATCTGAAAACGTCATTGGGCCTTACTTCTTCGAGAATGAAGATGGAAGTGCTGTAACCGTAAATGGAGAGCGGTATCAGTTTATGATAGAAACTTTTTTACATCCTGCTCTTGAAAACAGGCCTGGTAAGTGGTTTCAGCAGGACTAAGCTACTGCCCATACTGCCCGAGACACAATGGCACTTTTAAGTCAAATTTTTGGAGGGCGAATAATTTCCAGAAATTCGGGAATTATTTGGTCAGCGCGATCGCCAGATTTGACAGCATCCGACTATTTTCTTTGGTTTTATTTGAAGGAGCGAGTGTATGTGAACAAGCCAGAGACAATCCTTGAACTCAAGGCAAACATTGGGGCAGAAATTCGAACGCTACAGCCACAAGTTTTAAAAGATGTTATGGAAAATGCTCTAAAAAGAGCCCATCAGTGCGAAGCTGAAAATGGCGGTCATTTAAGAGACATCATTTTTCATACTTAGTGTAAAAAAATTTCCCTTTTGCATATTATATAATCTGAAAGAAAAAAAATTTAATAAACGAAAAATTTACACCCCTGGTTTCTTTTGGCCCGCCCTGTATAAGGGTTAACAACGATCGCGTCATTTAAATTACACATGACTAAATTACAGTCGTATAAAATAAAATAAAAGCAGTTTGAAAAAAGTCAGCTCATAAAAGTTCACACAATGTTATTGCTAAATAATTATTAGTTGTCTTAAAGTGTACTATACTTGGGAGATTTATATATAATTTATATGTTAACTCGCATATTTACGTGTTTTCAATATTTCTATGCAAATGGAGATTTTTATGGTGAGACCATTATAAATGCAATGCATTTAAGCAAACTCTATTCATATTATAATATTGAGTTCACAGTCACCTCCCCTCATTTTAGCCTTATCTTATGAATTGCGTCATTATGTTAGTTAGCGAGTACGGAGGCTTACAAGTTTAAAGCTAACCACGCCCAGATTTGATGAGCAGCTTTTCTAGGACCCAAAATAGTTTGTAAGAATTAATGTTCATAGACTTAAGTAACTAAATAAAATGCTAGCCGAATTCTAACAACAAAATTTTGAGGCTAATTAAGAAAAAAGTTTAGTGTTATGAAATGGGTAAGAGTATAAGAAAATGTATCTACGAAGTAACTAACGGGTTTTCGCAAGACATGTTAATAACTAACAAACTGTACTTATCAAACCAAATTTGTGCGGCGCTGCATAGCTCTTAGGCTATAAACAACGAAATATGTGAAACTAAGAGCAGCTAAGCAAGCAAATTATAGAGAGCAACTCACTGTTATCGCAACAATGTTTAACCAATGCCGTCGCCACTGCAGCTACCATCCATTGACTGAGAAATCGCTGCAATATGGGCGAGCAATTAACAAGAGCTCTCTCGCGATAGAACAATAATTTATATTGGAGAATCTAGAATATTGTAGAGAGAACGAAACTCAAATATAGTAGTAGCAGCTGTTGAAAATTTGGCGATACAAAAAAAAAAAAAAAAAAAAAAAAAAAAAAAAAAAAAAAAAAAAAAAAAAAAAAAAAAAAAAAAATTATAATAATAATAATAATCATAAATAAATAAGAATGTATAAATGTTTGTATATTTACGTCTGCTTGTCGTGTAGAATATAAATCAATTAATTGAAAGAAAATCTTAGATAATTATGCTTGAGAAGCAACGAAAATACAAAAAATCTCCATATATATAATACGCTTGTCATATTTGCGTGCATTGATGAAGTTCATAAATCACAACTCAGCGCTGCCTTTTGCTCAATGAAAACGTAGAAATATCGTAAAAAATTATTTCGAAAAATATGCCAAAGTAGCAGCTTATAACCAGTTAGACGCGTTCCACTCGTAAATAGATGCCATTCTCCGCTTCTATGATAATGTTTTTTTTACTAAGCTTAATGGGATCTTCGGTGCGAGCTGAGTGACTGAACTTGTAGTCGCGCAGCAAGTGTACGAGCCCCACCTTCGTCTGCATTTTACCGAAACGCAGACCAATGCAACTGCGTGGTCCATCGCCGAAGGGCAGAAAGGCGCAGCTATGACGCTTTTCTACGTTCTCTTTATCGAAGCGCGTGGGATCGAAACGATCGGGGTCAGGGTAGATTTCAGGATCGTGATGTATAGCATCGACAGGAATCACAACTGAAGTGCCCTTCTCCAAGATCAGTGATGAGTTGGGCACACGATAATCTGAAGTGACTGTGCGCACAAGTTGCGCCAGTACAGTGTATTTACGCAGTGTTTCTAGATACGAAAATAAATGAAGTTGTTTAAGTTTTACACACATAAGTTGATTAGTGGACATACCGTTGACAACCTTCTCCAAATACGACATTTCCTTTAACGCTTCATATGTGACTTCGTTTTTGTGAGCGCTCAATACGTTCACAATTTCTTCGCGTAGTTTATCTTGTATCTCTGGATTCATTGCCAGCTCATAGAGACAAAAAGACATGGTGGTCGATGAGGTGTGGAAACCGGCAATAAAGAAGACAAAAGCCTGCGCAGCCATCTGTAGCAAAGTCAAGCCCTGTGACAAATCTATGCCCTCATGCTTTGCAGCCGACTCTTGATCCTCAGCCATCATATCGATTAGCATATCCATGAAATCATTTCGCTTCACCTTGTTCTTAATTCGATACTCGACGGTTTTCCGCACAGCGTCAATAAAGAACTCAGACACCTCGTCATTTAGTAGTTTAAAACGCAATTTTTTCGCGATTTTCGGATTAAATATTATAAGCGCCTGTATTAGCTGTGAGTGGCGCGGCTTCTCGAAGATAGAACGGCCATAACAGCGAAATGCGGCATTTGGATCCGACAGGCTGTTGCATTCAATACCAAAAGCGCATGTGCCGATCACGTCTGTGGTGTAACGTGCGCTTAATTCCTTCACTTCGAATTCCGGCGCCAACTGACCGCAGGTACGACTGAGATTCTCCGCTACCGCCACCACTGTAGGAAACATAAATTTCATTTTGCCCGAGGAGAAAACGGGTGTCAACTTATTACGTAAGGAGCGCCATTCTTCGCCCTCCAGTGTCAGCAAATGACCCGAGAGCGGTTCATCGCGTACATTGTTGAATGCACCGCGATCGTGAAAGCTTGAAAAATCCTTAATGAGTATATGCTTGATTAAGTCCAGGTCAACAATGAATGCTGATCGCAAAAAGAACATATAAATGCCACCAATTGGTGCGCCATCTCGCTTGTAGCGTTTATAAAGTCGTGAGTTTATATCCCGAAAGTGAAACTCACGCCCGATACCGTTCATATTGCCAAGTCCATAGATAGGGTCTTCTTGTGGAATACCAAGGCGCGCCCAATAGCTATAATGGTTATGCAAATAAAGCAGCACCAACGCCACAACGACCAGCGCGAACGATAAGACGACATATGACATCTTACTCCGCTTGACTTTTGTACTGCATACAAAAAAAACCTCAAAAATTGTAGTTATCACAGGTAGTGATATACTATATACAAGCGATGAATGATGTGTGATTACAATTAGCCACTGACCGATTATGATTGAAATTATGGCGCGTTGATTCAAACACTTTTAGACTCTCGCAACGCACTTAGTGAACTGTTTGGAAGTGAGACCGGCTACTGCGTTTTATGAATAAACAGGTTCGCTCTCTCATACTCACTGGTGGAGTCAGAACAAATGGTCAGGTATAGCCAAGTACATGTGTACCTGCATACATTTGGTATACTATATAATTATGAGCTAACACACTTTACTCGAATTTATTCATTTACAAACAGTAAGATATACTAGAACAGAGGAAACGTGAGAGGAACTGTGATTATAAGTGATAGTGAGAGTGAAGCAACCCAGTGAGAACATTGTAAATTTTGTGTATATTTGCAAATTTATTTCATTGTTGCATTACAAAAGCTTTTTCGAGCATCTTCTTTATTAAATATACATTCAAAATCAAAGAAACTAATTCGGCAAGGAATATTTGTCTTTGGCTTTCTGGAGATAAACACTTTATCTATGACATAGAAATGCTCTTGCAGTGTACCAACGACCTCTTTTCTGCTAGGGTACATTAAAGTTGCTTACCACAACTTAAATTATAGTATAAACAAAATACCACAGCGATGCATTATTGATAAAGATAGATAGCATTGTTGAAGGTTCGCCTAACTAAACTGCCGAAATATTGCAACATACGACTGCTAGAAATTGTTTCTTGCTAATTTTGGGTTGCTAAAACCGAAAATGATAGTAAAAATTTCCTAACCATTAGAATTTTTCGTATTGTAGAAAAGGAGTGTAGGGCTCATCTAAACTTCAAATTTGTAATAAAAACACCTCATCATCATTTCATATTTGTTGAGTAGTGTAAGTATTGTTATTTAGCGCTTAATGCGCCAATAAGTGATCACTAAACGTCAGAGAGTAACCGTACTACTTAAGAGAGTAAATGTGCTTCCGCAGTAACGAAAAACACATGTGAAAGAGTACGAAATAATTAAGAAAATACTGGACAGCATTGAATCACTCTTTACACAAACACATGTAAGCCTTATCTCGCAGGTGCTCAGGCATAAATGTGTTAAACAATTTTAGATTTAATGCTGTCAGAGAACAAATAACTTTCGACGTTGCAATACAAATATTTGGTCGAAGTAATGCTCAAGGTAATATGAGTAATACTATATATAGGATATTGTGACAAAATATTGTGACGGAAAGTGTAAATAAAACGCAAAATGTTTAATTATTCATCAGTATTACTTCAGGCCCCTTCAAAGTAATCCCCAACAAATGTAATACACTTAAGCCACAATTTGTACAGTCCTCTAAAAAATTTTCGTAAGCGCTTTTTGGGATGGACTTCAGCTATTTCCGCGAATTTTTGTTTTTTCTCTTCGATCGACGGAAAACGGGTTTCATGGAGAGGGAATTCAGGCTTTGGGAATAAGAAGAAAAGAAAGAAACAAAAAAAAAAAAAAAAACACGGAGCCAGATCTGGTGAATACGCTGGTTGATCGATTGTATTATTTTCGTTTTTGGCTTTATTCAGCTTTGTCCGGACGTTTCGAGCAACAACCCATTTAACACTCGAAATATCCACCAAAATCATTACAACGGACTCGACGGACAGATGAGCTCGACATCTCTGTAACATTTTGCTAGACGATTTTCATCACCATTTGAATATTTTCATCAGTTGAAGAGGTCGAAGGTCGTCCACTCGTAGGCTTGTGATTTTGATAAAACTGACCACTCCGACGATCACAGTAATATATTTTTAATATAAAAGAGAATTACTATTTTCAAAAGAGTATATTTTGTAATTATGTTCATGGATCGAACCGTTTTTTAATTTTTATGCACTCAACAAGACATTTCAAGTTTGCCACGAAGTATTTTAATACCCAGAAGAAAACGCAGCAAACGGCGCTATCGGATCACGTAGCTGTCATACACGCTGAACGTTCGTATTGGAAAGAAATATGACCAGATATCTTCACAAAAGTTCGCATGGATTATTGCCTAAGGCCACCATTAAACCATTCTGAGTATATTTATCGTAAAATACGAGAAATGTCACTAATATTTCGAGATTAGAGAACAAAAACAAAGTTTATTCATCGAACTACATTTTATTGTTTTACAAAATATTCTACCCCCCCGGGATCTATACACTTTTGCATGCGTTTAAACCAATTTTCGAGGCACTTTCGCTTAGTTTTGGTCAAAATGAATATTATAAGTTACTGTAGACATCACATAAAGGCGTGTATGTCTAAACGTTCTGTACTCGTTGTTGTGGAACAACAAAAATATTTAACTTTAAGGTGAACTGGTGAGTCGGCAGATTGAATGCTAGGGTTACCAAATCCAACGTAAAAGGAGCAGCTCACTATGTGAGTCGAATATATATTCGAAGTGTTCAATGCAACAAATATATACAGTAGTGTTGACGAAAATAATAGTGCGACAGCACATAACACTCCAATCTTATTGCTGACATGTTCTTTCTTGCAAATTAAACATTTCTACAATACTTTCGTAGAACAGAACATTGTTAACAAAAAAACACCAAAATGCCGTCATTTTTACTTTGCGTTGCTTTCTTTATGGTATATTTCAATATTTGTACCAAAAGTCTCTTGTTCATTAAAATAGTAGTGCTTGACGGGAATAGTTGAAAAAAATTTAATTTTTTTTTTTTTTAAATTTTAACTGACATGAGTAAGTGTATTAAAATAATGTAGTAATTGTGTGATATAAATTTATTGAAATCGCTCTTTATTTCTTGCTTAGTAGGTTGAAAAAAAAAAACCTTGCTCAATCAAAAAGCGGGAGCTAATAGTTAAATTAAGCGATCAAGGCAAGACATATAAAGAAATCGAAGAAATGATTGGTTGCACTGCTCCGATGATATTTAATTCTATTCATCATACTATTAAGCCGAAACTCGTGGTGGTAAACGCAAGACTACATTTCTAGAGGGCCGACGAATTGTGCGATGCAGCAAAGCGAAGCCTTCGGAGTCGTCAAAAATAATTAAAAATGAATTGAATCTAATGGTCAGTGCTGTCACAGTTAGCCAAAGGCTAATAGGAGCTAATTTACATGCAAGGAATCCGAGAAAAGTACCCCTTTTGACAAAGAAGCACGTCAATGCAAGAATAAAAAGTTACGAAAGACCATATGTATTGGCCCGCTCAAAAGTGGCACAATATTTTATTTACGGACGAGATCAAACTTTTATTGTTTGGTGGTATAGGCTCCAGGCACTGTGTTCGTTGTAACTCGAACAAAGGATACCACCAAAGGTATACCACAAAGGCAGTTAAGTATGGTGGGCTAAATACTATGGTGTGGGCTTGTTTCACGTATGTTGGCGATGGTCCAATCTCTTTGATCAGTGCCATTATGGAACAAGCAGTGTACATTAATACATAAAAAGATGTAATCCTACCGTATGCTAGTTGGAAAATGTTGTTAAATGCACATTTCAGCATAAACTAAGGCAAACTAGCTAATTATTGGTTCTAATCTAAAAACATTACGTGATACCGTGGCCAGCACAATCTCCGGACCTAAACACGATCGAAAACTTATGTGGCGATGTCAAGAGAAACATAACAACAGCAAAACCATCGAAAAATACAGAGCTTTGGCAAGTGTTTAAGGAGGCAAAGACTCAAATCTCTCTGAAGCGTTGTAGGGACCTTATTGATTCCATGCCACGTCGATACCTAGCCATTATAAACAACAACGGATTTACAACAAAATATTAGACCTTAGAAAACATAAAAAATATGAAATATTTACTTTTACTTTCATATTCTTAGTTTTATCGTCTTTTTGAATAGCCACTACTATTTTATTGAACAGCAAAATTTTTCAATTTTATATTAATTTAATAACTGTATGTAAACTAAAAAAAATTTTTTGGTAGATAAAACTGTAAATATATCATACATTAATTAAAAATTATGTTGTTATTAATTTCTTATCGAATATTGTACTTATCATGTGTTTTGACTGTTAAATAGTTAGTAACCACCGGCACTATTATTTTTGTGAACACTTCTGTATAACAAATTAGCTAACTTTTTTATTGGAATTGAACTTTTAAAGTAAATAATACACATTTTATCAATAGTTATTGAATGATTTCAGTGAAAGCGTTGCAAGCACAATTTGATTATTGATATATTTGTACAAATTACAATTTTACTTATAAAAGACTATTGTTTAATGCAAATGAAGCTTAATTAAATCTAATTAGGGACGTGAATGCGGGTAGCGACGCGCAGTAATAGCAATTGTGCGTAGAAATTTAATTGAAACCGCGACTTGCCACACCGCAGGCAATGCTGCGACAATTACGTATGACTGAGTGTGCTTATTTGGGGCAAGCATTGTTTGCACAGAAGAAGGCCCGCGAAGGCGAATTGCGTAAACGCATTATATGATCTTATAAATAATTTACTAAACCTTGAGGTGGACGTATTGACTACTGCCACTAGCTCTTCACAGCCTTTCATGTCTCTACTAAATAAGCGCTGCATATTACTTATGAGCGACCGCAACGTGCTGGTCATATACTCTTTGCTGGCATTGACTATATATAACAGCGCACATCGGCCACTCACTCATTTAAGAACACTAACACTTTAAGCGCAGAATTTATGACGCCTTCTTGTGTCACCTACCACAATAAACTACAACTAACTACAGCGCGGCTTGTGCGTCGGCTGCAAACAATTATTCTAGAGAATGGCCGTCAACTTTGATGGACTGCACGCTGTGACTAACTGTCCTCTTTGACAGCTGCGCTGCCAGTCTTGCTGACGAAATCAGTCAACTTGCCGGACAGACTAATGTGCTGCCATCTTTAATTCCCGCTAAGGAGCTGCTTTCACACTCCCCCGTTTAGTTTGCCCCTTTGCTGGGCAACTCTTCAAAACTTCATCATTCGAAATTTATCATAAACTCAGTTGTAATAAGCTTTGCCGTCGTGATTTATACTCGACAATTGTTTCTTATGTTGTCAATTCCACTTCGCAGTATTTTTTCCACACACGCTCAGCCCA